GAGAGGATAAGCCTGGATATTAGGTTCAGGCATGGTATCTATAACTCAATCAATCATGCCCTGTAATAAAACCCTAATAAAGACTCTGATCCCCGAAGCTCAATGGAGCTTCTGGTTGGTGACACTGATGTGCTGGATCATGACTGTTCCATGGAAGAGGGCATGGAAGTTCCACGTTTGGGGTCCTCCTGGACCTTGCTCTGTATGTTTCTTCATTTGGTTCTTATCTGTACCCTTTATATTAAAACTTGAATTGTGCCAGGTGTGGGGTGCATATTTATAACCCCAGCACTTGGGAGGAAGAGGCAGGACGATCACAAGTTCAAGCCCACCTGGGCTACAAAGTAAGTTCAAGGCCAGTCTGAGCTACACAGCAAGACCCTGTCTCAAAACAAGAGTGACAACAACAAAAAAATAAACCAAAAAACTTTAATAATTATATCATCATTTTCTTTAGGTCTATGAATCATTCTAATGGATCACCAAGGCCAAGAAGGGTTGTGGAAACCCTCAGGTTTGCAGCCAGTTGGTCTGAAGTGAGAAGGGTCTGAGTACAAGGCTCAGGGTCCATCATTTAAAGCAGTCATAAGCTGTACTGTCAGAAGTTCTTATGCACAATTCATAATTATAATATGCATTAGGCATCCCTTACTCAAAATGTGCTGAACCAGAAGGTTTCAGATTTTTGGACTATTTGATATATATATAATGAGACATCTGGGGATGGTACCTAAGTCTAAATGCAAAATTCATTTCTGTTTCATATATACCTTATGTACAGAGACTGAAAGTGATCTTATGCAGTATTTTTAGGGCACCTACACTAAAATACTAAAATACTGCACATGTGACCCATCCCATGAGGTCAGGTGTCCACTTTGGCATCATGTTGGTGTACCAAAAAATTAGATTTGGGGCCATTTTGGATCTTTGGATTAGGGATACTCAACCTGTGACTGAGATACATGGCTTAGCTCAGCTGTAAATTCCAGACTACAATCAAAGCCACACATTTAAAAAAGCATTATACACGCTCCCTACATCCTACCAGGGTGTTCACTGCCCTGTAATAAGGGAAGGAAATGGATGGAGACAGTGTTTTGAGGTAAGCTCGAGGTGGCATGAATAGAGAAAGCAAAACCTGAAGTGTGCCATGCCACATGCTTTGTGCCTTCCGTGACTCCAAACTGCTCACGGGACAGAACCTAAACTCCCTTGCCTGGTGGGTGGATCTTCTTGGGCAGTAACACCTCTGCCTCCCAAGTTAAGCAGCCTGGTTATCTGGCCTGGTGATAGAGACTGCATGTGGACTCCAAAGGCTTGCACCAACAGTCATGTAGAGAAACAGGCCTGTGGTTTCCACATTGACAGTGTGTATAGGGTGGTCAGCAATTCATTGATCCTCAGGTTCAGAGACACTTGTTGAGTAAGATAGCTTACACAGGTAATGCACTACAGATGTGGCTTAGTGATGTTTTTCCCAGGGAGGTGACACAGATGGACTGATGCAGGATTAAACCTGGAATATCAGGAGAACAGGGAGGTAGATGCTGAAGATAATGAAACATCTTCATTTCTCAAAAGAAAAGAAAATGCAGTGACAGAGGAGGACATGAGTTTCTTAAGATAGTTCCACAGTCAGCAGAGAATCCCAGAATTACTTCCAGAAAGCTGCAGCTAACTGCCAGGGTAGGTGCATGTGGGGCTGGAGGAGGCAGAGCCTGCAGAGGGGTTCCACAGACACAGACATTAAGACAGAAATGCCCATATCCTTCACAAATCTAACCTTTTCACTGAACTGACTGTTTTGTTGAGCTGAGTCAATTAACTTGGTTCCTCTTTTAATTTGTGTCTTGCTCTTATTGTTTATGATAATATCACCTATAGCAGTTTGACAAACCACCATAACAAGGCACAATGGAAAGTTCCAAGACATGACCAGATGCTTCCTGTGAACCCCCACATGCTGTAAGGAGCCACCGTGCATCCTTACACGTATGACACAAGGATCTTGCACACAAGGGTCTTCTCTCTCTGCCACAGCCTTCTATTAGGGCCAGTACCACATCTTACCGCCCACCACCAGTTGCTTGGTCTCTACCAGTTGCTTCTCAGTGAAGGGGCATGTGGGATAAAGAACTTCTCCAAACACAGGACAGAACAGCAAAACAAGGATGAAGAAGAAATTTCACGTGGACTTACATGCCCTGCTTTGGGGGCAGCCAATCACCACTTTTTGTTTTATCATCTCCAAACTTCACATCAACGATGTGCCATCCACAGATCCCATAAAGCAAGCACAGCCACAGTTCTGAGGAGGAGCAGAAACTGTGGCCAGTGGAGGGGCATTGCCAAACCCACCAGGGGATCGTCTCCCCTGTGGCCTCCTGGGCTGTTCTTCCTCCAGCCACAGTGACGCGGCAAATGGTGGCCACAGACCACGCACCCACACAACCCACTCCTGTCCCCATGCGATCCTAGTCACTCCCCCCTAGAACTTCCAACTGCAATTTAAATCACCAGGACACGTCTCAACATAATGGCTTTAATAGCATCTGCAACCAAAACCACAGCTGGATGGAGGAGGATTTTGTGCATTTTTGTTTTCCCCAGAAATTTAACTCATTCCTACTTATGCTTGAGCTTCAACTGTACAGCTAAGAATTCTTCTCTAAATATGAAACATATGTTTTACCTTAAAAAGACCATTTCACAAAAAAACTAGGCTGTTCTTCCTGATCAGTGTGTAGTGCTTGCCCGCCTACTCCATGTGCCCCAATGGCTGTTCTTTGGTCCAGTCTAGGGTCACAGACATTCTCCCTATACTACTGACCTGGGCATCCCAATGCTGGGGCCCTAATGCAGAGTGACCACTGTTGCCAGTATGGAACACCACTAGGCCCCTGGATATTGCCACAGATAGTCATCGAGGAGCCCTATCCTGCTCTCAGGTCTGGGTGGGTTCACCCTGACATAGCCCCATCCCATCTTTGGGGCAAAGAGCAACTTTGCAGGAAAGGACAGGTCTGTGACAAGCTGGAAGAGATTGGACATTCAGAAACAGGAAGGACCGTCTGAAACTACATGGTCACAATCACAGTTAACAGGTAAAGTTCCTACTTTTTCATTCAAATGCACAACTATGGGACACAGAAACCATTACAGGGGTATGGGACACCCTCAGATATTACCCACCCAAGGTCCCAGTGTTCTTACAGACTCTCAGGAGAATGCTCAGTGAAAACCAGGTACATGGGCCTTCACGCACAAAGTTTTTCAAAAACCCCATGTAAACAAGATAGCACCTAGTGAGCTCTAGAGTCACTGTAACTAGTGACCTGCAGAATGTGCTGGTCACAGCTGGCAAGCAGAATGTCTGTGTGTCATGCTTGAAAATAAGTGTCAGGCCAGGAAGAAAAAGGGAAAGGACAGAAGTGCATGTTCAAAATATCCCATAGTTGCAATACACATGTACATGGAAACAATGCTAGGAATCTCTCTGTATAGCTACCCTTATCTCAACTAGCAAAAATGCTATGTCTTTCTTATTATTGCTTATGTCTTCTCTTCAACAAAACTGGACAAGAGTGCAGAACAGGTTCTGCCTGGAAGCAAGGGGAGTGAGGGGGAGAGGGAGGAGGCAGAGGGCATGGGGGAGAAATGACCCAAACAATGTATGCACAAATGAATAAATGAATAAAAATAAATTTAAAAAAATCCCATAGCAAAGATGGTTTCTTTCCCCAAAGGAAAGAGCTGAGCTCAAAGACGTCTGTACCTATGTAGACATACAAAATAAGAATTCATTTTTAAAAACAGGTTAATTAACAGACCAACTGTTCATACCCACCTCCCAATGAGAGTGGGCAGTGCCCCTTGAGACCTGTTCCCTGAAACAGGAGCTGTGTCTGATGGAGCCCTTGGATCTATCTGCTGACTGGCATGGATGGAGTGCTGAGCCTGGCTATGATCCTGGTCAGAACAGACAGCCAATGTGTGATGTTTCTGTGGAAGGACTGGGAAAGTGTGATCACTGACTTGACATTTCATGATACTGAGGAATTACCTTCCATGTTTAAGGTAAAAACAGTATTACTTTTTACCAGTTTTTATCTGTTTTGTTTTTTCGAGACAGGGTCTCATTATGCAACCCAGGCTGGCCTCAAAACCATGATCCTCCTGCCTCAGTCTCCCAAGTGCTGGGATTATGGACTGCTGGGATTACAGACTGCTAGGATTACGGATGTGGTCTACCATGTCCAGTTTATTAATAGCTCTTATCTTTTAAGGGTATGTGCTGAAATACCTGCAAGTGAATGATACAGTGATGAGGTGCTACTTCGAAAACTGTTAGAAAAAGAAAAAACATGACACTGTCCAGTAATACTATAGGAAGACAAGTTGAATGTATTTGCATCGATTATTTAAATTTCAATTTCCTGGGGGAAAGTGGTAAGCCTCTTCAGAAGCTTTAAAAGCTGTTAAGTAGGAGGAAGATCTGAGTGAGCCAGCATACCCTCAACTGTACATGCAGTTCACAGAATACACACCTGTGCAGCACACATGTGTGTGCACTAGCACACGCGTACATGGAGCATGTGAATAGTACACAGCACACAAAGGCACACAGTGTATGTACAGATAGTACATATACAATACACATAGCACATGTACATGCACAGCACGTGTGCAGTACACACATGTGCACACAAACACAATAGGTGGAGAAGGCCAACAGTTCAACTGTGTGTTTGCAGGAGCCTGTGTGCATGGTGTGCTAGTCTGCATGCCATGTGGCACATGGACTTGGAATGGACAGTGCCTTTCCTGTCCTTTCTGTAGCTAAGGGAGCACAGCAAACCACCAGACCCAAGCAGCTGCCTTTAGTGAGAGGCCACCACAAATGAACAGAGTACATCTTGGGGCAGGAGAGAGATGAGGTGCCAAGGGAGAGGACAGGAATGCTGCCATGGCCCACCGTGGCACTGGGGACCCTGTACCTGCGTCAGCTCCTGGGCTTCCCCTTCGGAAAGGAACATCTGGCTCCTCTGCAGCTGCAGTGGCCTGCCCTCCCAGCCTTCTGTGGGCTGCTCATGGTGCTCAGCACAGCCCATCAGCCCGGATGCTGGAACGGAAAGTTGAGGTCAGTGGTGACATCTTTCGGAAGGCGCAAACCACTCACAAACGTTCAGAACCTCACAGAGGGACATTTAAGATCACCACAGCACTTTGGCCTGGTGGGGTATGTCTGCATGCCCCTTATGGGTCTCTGTTCCTGGGCCTTCAGGAGCACCCCACCCCAGGGACTTCATCAGGCCCTGGTCCCATAGCCATTGGAGTTTACAATACCGTAAACACCTAGTGGTTAATTCTGTAACTATCTCTCCAAAGTGAGGCCCTTTATCCAAAGTGGCCAATTTTTTCTTTTTTTGAGAAAAGACTAAAGATGTTGAATATAAAACACAAGAACCATTGAACCCTGGTGAAATGTACATAAAACACATCACCAGGAAACTGTGGGGATGGACAGCTGAGCTATTCCACAAAACACTGTGGTTCCAGAGAGCACAGGAAATGGCCAACTGTCGGAGCCAGAAGAGCCGCGTGTATGTGCTACTCTGAGGTGGGGGGAAGCGGTGAGTCAGAGCTGCCCTGTGGTTAGGCAAGGCTCAGTGCCATGGGGCAACTCCATGGCTTGGGGCTGTCCATGAGCCACGGGGCTCCCTGAACACCTGCTCACTGGGTAATCTCTGTATCCAAGACAGGGCAGCTGGTTGTAAGCAGTATAAAAGGTGCTATGCAGCATGGCTCCTGGTTTCTGCAGCAGGGTGCCACCTGTTCTTTATTTAGAGAGAGACTCCAACTGCAATTCCAGCACTTTCTGGCCCAGATAAAGGCTGCAATTAAAGTCTGATCTTTGTTCTTCTCCATAATACAGGCCACCCCAGATATGGAACAGTGGTCAAGTACATTTATTAGGCTGGGACAAAACAGAAAGGGCACTGGGCTGAAAACCAGTAACTCCAAGCAGCCTAGGCAGGTGACACTACCCTCACAGCTGGATGAGATATAGCAACTTGGAGTCTGCTGCTTAAATACATGAGAAAAGAACAGGAAAAAGAAACACACCTGGGAGAAAAAGGAGGAGCTCTCCTTGGGCCTGAAGGGTGGGAACCAAATGAGTCAGCCCCCAAGGTATGCCAATGAGGTACTCTGATTCTTCTCAGGAAAGATACCAGGAGCCTCCAGAACACACACAAAATCCACTCTAGTCTTATCTCTTCCAGTAATTCTTATAAGGTAACCCCCTCTGAGTGTCAGGCTTGCAGAGAACTAGACTTGTCCACCCAGGATGAATGTAGGTAAGACAGGACAAGCATGCAGGATGGGATAGAGCAGCTGGGGAAATGAGGGACACCTGGAAAGGCAGCCCCCATTAACCTCAGGCCCACCTGTATATCTTTGTGTTTGGACTCAGTCTCATAGAATAGCACCTTTAGGACATATCACCGGAATGGCTGCTTCCTTATTCCATTCTTCTTCCTTTGCTCTCTTCCTTTCCCTCTCTCTCTTTCTCTCTCCCTCTGTCTCCCTCTCTCTCTCTCTGTTTTTGGTGGTACTGGGGTTTGAATTCAGGGCCCTGTGCTTGCTAAGCAGATACTCTTACCACCTGAGCCACACCACCAGCCTTCTGTTCTTGTGGACTACGTACCCAGGGCATTGTGCATGCTAGGCAAGCACTCTACCATGGAGATACATTCCCAGTCTGACTTTGTTAAAATTTTTTTTGGCAGAACTGGGGTTTGAACTCAGGGCCTTTCACTTGCTAGGCAGGTACTCTATCACTTGAGCCACACCCCCAGCCCTATTACATTCTTAAAAAAAAATAAATCTGGTTACGAGAAGTCAAACTTCTTTCACAACCTGTGTCTGCCAAATTCTAATGTAGTAGACACTGCGCTGTGCTACCTGCAAAGCTCCCACTCCCCTCGCAGCCTCTAGGAGCTGAATAATTAGCATTTCTGTTAGAGACCACCCCTGGCTATAACAACTGGTCAGCAGTGGAACACAGCTAGCTGGACCGGAAAGCAAAATAGGTACAAAGGATATGTCTCATCAGCTGTCATCAGCCTAACGAGAGGGTGGTGGGTAGGCGTGGCATGAGAGCACACTATTCGCTGCTATGAAGAGGGTTCTTTTCTCAGTGGGCAAGAGAGTGGGGGATTCACCCCTTCAGCCAGTTCCAGGAGGACCCCTGGCAGAACCCCACCACTTGCATGCTGGACCCTCTTCCCTTTGCAGGTCTGCTTAGGTATCTGGGGTAGCAGCAATCCTCTTGGCTGGCCTACAATCAGTCATGCACTCTCTGTGATTGATTTTCATATCTCTGTTCAGGGCCTCAGTGGTACTATGCTGGTGTGAGCTTTCCTCAGCACCTCTTGTGAGGATCCCCAGTTACAGCACAAACCCTGAAGCTGCTGAGTATGGCTGGGTTTTCATTTCCACACCTGAAGCCATAGGAGAGACCCTGACTAACTGAATTTTAACAACTGGGACTTGCTTCAATAACAGAAAGCTGAAGCAAGACTTTTCTTCCTGGATGTTACTAATTACCCACAAACACATGGAACTGGGAATGTTTGCCACAAGCTGCAGGGTTGGCTGGGACCCGGGTAAGCCAAAGGACTTCTCCACCTCAGGCCTGGTTGCTGACTTGGTCACTAAATGTCTTAAAACATCTGAGAAGAACTAGGGTTCTGTGCAAATATAAAACATCTGAGAAGAACTATGGTTCTGTGCAAGATTGTTTCTGTCTCTTCAGTCATTAATAATCTCAGTTAAATAAAAGCAAGAATCGCTCCTGTTGACAGGGAATGGAACAGCATCTTCAAGGAATAAAGAGGCACAAAGAGGGCAGAGATGACACAGACATTGGTCCCCAGGGGAGCCTCTGCAGGAAGTCCTATGGTCACTGCTGTCTGAGGGTCTGCTGCATAGGAGACATAGAGCTCAGAAGAAAATTATCACACCAACCTGGCAGACCTCTGCCCTGGGCTCTGGCCTCATGCATCTCATCTGCACTAGGGGAAACTCCCCCTCTAGCTGGGGCACTGGCACTTTGAGGTGCCTGGGAAGATGGTATATGGGTCAGAAATACAAAATGCACACTTTCTCACATGGGAAAGACAGCATGAGAAAGCTGAAACAGAAGGAAACAGCAGTCTTGCATGGCTCCAACAAATACATGCACTTCCACAGTGAAGAAAGTACATGGCAGAATCTGGCAGAATCTGGCATGGAGGCGTCCAGAGTGAGTGGGGGCCAAGAAACTTCCTCTAACAGTCTTCTGGCTACCCAAGATCTCCATCATTTGGAGCACAGTGTGTGCATCCCCACAGACCCCATCCTGTCCTGGGACTCCTAAGAGCTTAGTCATGCATAGTGTGGTGCCTAAATCCCCAGGAGACTACCCCCCCCCAGCTTTGTCACACATCCATGTTACCTCAGCACTGTGCCTGTGTCCCCAGGGATCCTATCTTGGTCCCTTCTCCCCCCAAGAGCTCAGTCATGCACAGTGTGGTGCCTAGGTCCATGGGAACCCCATTCTGGAAAGGGCTTTCCAACTTCTAATCTCAAAACTCTTCTGCCTCAAAAGATGGCCCGTAGCAAGTGCCCTGTACAGAGACATCATCATTCATCCCCTGCCATGCCTTATGCTGTCTGGCCTGCCTGGTGCTGGGGACCTTATGACTGACTATAGATACAAATACTGTTTGGCAAGCAGTTTCCTGGAAGCTCAAATCCCAGCTCTGGCTGCTTCTTTGAGCAGGTGACAATAGCCTTCAGTAAAGACAGATTCAGCAAACAAATGATCCACAGAAAATGATATGCATGTCCTGGTCATGGGATATGAGAGGACACCCCACTGAAAGGCTTCCTCCCAAACCACACCCCCGATTAACCATGAAAACACAACACGGGTCCTACCTGGCTCACCCTCCAAGCCCCACCAGTTCTCCTATAGGCTGTCTGGGCACTGAGGATACATGTGAGGCACTGTCAGAGCCAAGGAGCCCAGGGAACTATAGGATTAGAGGCTATAGGACTTTATGTAAAGATGAGGGCATAAGAGGCAGCTCTAGCAAGTAACAAGTATTGGTGCTCCCTGGCCATGACAATGAGACACACTAACATTAGGTGTCAACCAGAGGGCAGATGTAGGGTAGAGGTGGGGGCAATACAGGACTCTGTACAGGTTGAGACTGAATATCCCTAATTTAATAATCCACAATGTAAAATGCTCCAAACCCCAAAACATACTGAGCACAAACATGATGCCACAAGTGGAAAACTCCACACCAAGGAACTTTGTTCATGCACAGAATTCTTTTTTTGTTGTTTTGCTTTGTTTTGATAGTGCTGGGGTTTGAAGTCAGAGCCTCCCCTTGCCAGTGCTTTAACACTTGGTCCACGCCCTAGGCTCATGCACAAAAATTTTTAAAATATTGCATAAAATTACCCTCAGGCTATGTGCATAAGGTGTACATGAAACACAAATGAATTTCAAGTTATATATTTGGGTCTCAACCTGAATATATCTCACTATCTGCATAGGAATATTCCACAATCTCAAAAAATCCAAAATCTGAAACGCCTGTAGTCACTCGCATGCTGGATAAAGGATAAACAGCCTGTACTATCTTCATATGTTTTCCTGTAAGTCTGAAAATATTTTAAATTCAAATGGTTTTTAAAGATGCTATGCAGAGAAACATCAGTCTGCAACTGTGCTTCTCTGAGGATCCTGTGACACTGGCTGCAGCCTCTTCAGGTCTGCAGGAAGCATTCACTACAGGTCTCTGGAGAACTTCATCCAGCAATGTGCAACCACCAACAGCAAGTGTCCAAGATGTTGCTTGGCTGCCCCCATGTGGTCATGCACACACAGCATACTTCCTGAAGACGCTGCATTCTGGGGCCTCAGTCATAGTTTCTAGCCATACTGCTGCCAGTTTCCAACTCCCAGCAGTAAAACAGAAGCTGGCAAAACACCATAGTACTAGAAGGTGAGAACAAGGTGCAGGCTGTGGTCATGAACACTACTCAGTTCCCAGCAACTTGGAGGCAGTTTTTCTCACTAAGGCTTAGCACTGGCCAGCTTCCTGCACAGACAGGGCCAGGGCTGGGCCCCCAAGTCTACCAGCTGCAAGGTGCACCCACCTAATAGAAATGAGGATGGTGCTTCTTATTCAGCACAGAAACATTCGAGGGATCCCTCCAGGAGGTGAAAAATAACAAAGGTGAAAACCCCATGTCATTCTGCAGGTACTTGACTTATCTCACACAAGAGTTCCTATGATGGTCACTTTTCTGGGCTGACTCACAAAGGAGAGATTCCCCAGTGACTCACTGAGATCCTAATTTGCTTTGCTAGGATAGTTATTACAATGACATCCCTAACACCATTGTCCATAATCAGACATCTTAAGTGAAGAAGGCTGGCCTGGGGACAGGTCTGACTAGAAAGAGGGTCTTGAGGCAAATTTGAGGCCTCCCTAAGGAAGACAGAATCCAAACTGTGGACCACAGGCAGTCTGTGCCCAAAGCCCAAGCCTTCTACATTAGGTGGCCAGAATTCTAACCAGACCGACTCACAGAATGGATTCTTTATCTTGCAATGAACCTATTGTTACACATGACTTTTGGATTCTACCTGTCTGGTAAAGCCATGAACACTGTGGAAAAACCTCCCCTCCCCAGGATGTCACATGCCTCCTCCCTGAACTCATAAATGCCCATGTCACTTCAGTCTTTTCCCTTCATTAGGAAACACCCATACTTCATGCTTCTCCTCAGCCTTGTGCCTCACTGGACACTGTGGGTCTCAGTGCCTCCCTTGAGACAGCAAGGCATGGCAACTTGTTTTCTCATGGAACCTGGATGTTCTATTCCATGCTGAAGCATCTTATTTGCTACATTTGTCCACATTTCTCCCTGAAAGTCCTTCCCTAATCCTACCCCAGAAATGCCTCAGAACCATGGTACGGTGTATCCACACATACTTCCACATGCTAGATCCCAGTTTTACATCCTGCTAACTGCCATGTTGCACATGGCCCCAGTGCAGAGAATCTGAATGCTGAAAACTCACATCACTATGCTGCTGAGTTCGCAAAGATGCAGACATCCAAATATACATCTGGGTAGTGGCTGGAAAGACCCAGATTCAATGTCAAGGGACACAGTTGGGCTGGGAAGGATACAACAGATGGGGTCATACCAGGTGATATCTGATGCCAGTTACTGAATCAGTCTGAAGAAAGAGATGCTAGGACAGTAGACTTGGAGCCTTCCATTTATTCTATACAATTTAAAGTCTTTTGAAATTATTCAGATGTGGCATGAGTGTGTCCTTCAAGGGTTCATATGCTGGGAACTTGGTCCCCAGTGTGATGATGCTGGGGTGGGACCTTTAAAAGGTGGAGCCTCGTGGGAGGTCTTAGGTTACTGCCTTCAAAAGGGTTAAAGCAGCTCTTAGAGCATCCCAGTTAGTGCCTGAGAGATTGAAGTGTAATAAGAACAAGCATAGCTTCTGAATGTCTCTGACTTCCTGTCTCCCATGTGATCTATCTCTCGCATGTGCTCCTGCCATAATGTCATCTACCATGAGATCCTCATCAGAGGCCAGCTAGATGAGGCTGACCAATCTTAAACTTTACATTTTCATAATAGTAAGCTAAATAAGCCCCTTTTCCTTATAAAGTATTCACCTTTACTTACTTTATAAAGTAAACACCTTCTGGTGTTGTACTATGGGAACCCAAAATGGACTGATAAAATCCTTTCTCACTATATTAGTCAACTTTCTGTCACTATAATGAAAAATCCAAGGCAATTAACTTATAAAGAAAAATGGTTTAATTTGTCTCATGGTTCTGTATGTTTCCACTCTAAGATCAGGTGGCTCCAACTGTTTTGGGCCTGTGGTGAGTCAGTATATCACAATAGGAATGTGTAGAGGAGCAAAACTACTCACCATTTCTTTTGTTTGTTTTTTTGAGACAGGGTCTTGATTTTATAACCCAGTGTGGGCTCAAACTCCCAATCCTCCTGCCTCCTTCACCTCCTAGTGCTGACATTATGGGCATGTGCCACTAAGCCTAGCTAAACTGTTCACTTTGTCACTAGCCGGGAAGGAAATGAGAGACAGGAAGGAAGGGCTCCACATCCCCTTCAGAGACATGCCTCCAGTGACCTAAGGGCCTCCCACTAGGCCCCATTTCCTAAAGGTACCATCACCTTCCAATAGTGCTACTCTAAGGACCAAGACTTGACACATGGGACTTTGGAGAGCACTTAACATCCAAACTACAATACTGACCTATTTTGAAATCCATGTATCTATCAAGTGTATGATGTAACTCAGCAGATTGACATTCCTAGATGTCAAGACCAAGGAAAACAGTTTGAAATGGATTTTATGTATAAATAAATGGGCTGTGAGATGGAAGCCAGAAGTTGCTGTGAGTAATGCTAATGTGGATCGTGAACCACAGATGCACTGGGAGTGACTCTAATCTTAGAAGTCAGTTATATACTGCCCTGATGTCTGCTCACCTGCATGCCAGACAGAGCAGCTCCTCTCTGCAGGGGAAGATGTGCCTGTGCTTCTGAGCACTAAGGCATCTTCCAGCAGCTCAATCTTCTTGCTGAACTGCACTTCTAAAATGGGAATGACCTCTGGCATCTTGGCAGATATCACCCGATAAGCCACGTCTGGTTTCCCGATGAACCGCTGGCGTATGCTGACTTCATAAGGTGAGTGAACCTTAATATCATCTACATCTTCCCTCTCAAACCTGTGCAGGAGCAATGAATTGGAGTCATGGATTTCCAAGCCAGAAACCAGGATGGTAAGCCTTCCTGGCTTTGTGTGAGACTCTGTTCTTTGAGAAATAACAGCAGGAATTTTGATCACAATCCCTTCCTTTCCAAAAGGCTCACAGCCAGCTACAGAGGCACCTTCTCTAGGCTTTGCTTCTATTGGTGTCTTCCAAAGCTTGGAGCTGAAGGGCCACCAGGAAGGGGATTCCAGTTCTGTCAGCAATCTAAAAGAGAGAGAGAGAAAAAAAAAAAAACCCACAGAAACTTGAATCAATTGATTTTAAAGACTAATGCTTTTTTTATTTTTTAAGACTGATTTAATCTATATAAAGCATGTTACCATTTTATAATCAATCTTTCCCACTAACTACTCATGAGGCAGAAAGAGAAGGGTGTACTTCCATGTTTGAGGAGGGGAACCTGAGGCTCAGGAGAGTGAGGACAGCCGCCTTGAGGGACCCAGCTAACCAGCAGTAAAGACACAGCAAACATGAATGTCTGACCATGATATCTCTCTTTCTACACTACGTATGCTGCCTTGACCTGGGGAATTTTGACTCAAAATCCATCCTGATTTTGTATGGAAATTTTCTGTATCAGTATGGAAATATTCTATATCTTCACTGTCCAAAAGAGTAGCAAGCACATGTGACTACTGAGCAGCCAATGCAGCTGAATAATTTTTTTCTGTGTGTGGTACTGGGTTTGAACTCAGGGCTTCATGCTTACTAGACAGGCACTCTACCACTTGAGTCACTGCACCAGAACTGAATTTTTAATTCAATTTAATTAATTTTTTGTGGGGCTGGGTACAAAACCCAGGGCCTCATTCATGCTAAGAAAGTACTCTACCAATGAGCCACATCCCATCCCAACTTAATTCACTTTTAACATGGTTAGTGGCTATCAGATTGGATAGCCCAACTGGAAAGTAACCACTAGTAAAATCAAGAAATAGATCTAAAGGGTCAAGAAGAGATAATAATGGGGGTTGGAAAGGAAAAGTAAAGATCAAATGGAAAAACAGGAACAAATAGATGGAGGAATTAAAATGAACCATTCATACTAAATGTGAATGGACTAAACACTTTACTTAAAAAGCAGATTGTTAGCCTAGAAGAAACAAGATACAGTTATATCTTGTTCACAATGTACACACTATAAAATATAAAAAAAGATACACCGAAAGCAAAGGATTGGAAATAGGTATGTTATACATGCTAAAAGTAAGTGAGTATTATCAGGAGCACTGTATGATAATAAGAGAATCAATTAATCACAAAGACTTAACAATATTAAACATGTATGCACTTAGCAACAAAACTTCAAAATTAAGCAAAAACCCTGACAAAACTAAAAAGAGAAATAGACACAGGTGTAAATTTTAACACATTTCTCTCAATGACTAGTAGAATAAGAAGACAAAAATTTACTAAGAATGTAGAAATTATGAACACTATTTAACCACCTCAACCTAACTGCTAGCTATAGAAACATCATCCAATAGTCTATTGAATGTACACTATTTTCAACTATATTTAAAACATTTGTGAAGGGAGGGGAAATAAAAGAGAATTATGGAGGGGGTGAATACAACTATGATATATTGTAAAAACTTTTGTAAATGTCACAATGTTAACCCAGTATAACAATAAAAAATTTTTTAAAAGTAACGTTCACAACAAAGGATGCAACAAGTTTCAACAATACTGCTTTCACAAAGAAATAAGAAATCAATAAAAGATAACTATAAAATCTGGAAATATTAGGAAATTAAACACCTACTGAAATAATGCATGGATCCAAAAAGGCAAAAAGGAAATCAGAAAATATTTAAAGTGAATGAAAATGCAATATACAAAAGAAGCAAACAGAGCAGCCATATATATTCATATATCTACATATAGCTTTGTGTATATATGTATATATATATATGAAACTTCTTAGAAAGATTTAAAATCAGTGATAAAAGCTTCTATTTCAAAAAGTTCTAAAATGGAGAGCAAATCATCCTCAAAGCAGAAAAAACAAAATGCATAAATCAATGAAACTGAAAACAGTAAAAACATGAAACATTAACAAAGCCAAAAGTCAGTTCTTTGAAGTGACTTAAAAATTAACAAATAACTAAGAAGAAATGATGACTGGGGAAAAAAAAGAGAAAATGCAAATTACCGATATTGGGGATGAAGAAAGAGGGTAATTACTGCAGATCTTGAAAGACTTACAGATATTAATCTTAACACCAATAAATTTGACAACTTACACAAAATCCAAAAAACATTTGAAAAACCTAACCTGAAACTGAGGCAATGAAGAAAAAAAGAGAGAACAGAATAACTTTAGAAAGAAATTGAACCTGTAATTAAAGATTTTGCCAAAGAGAAAACTATGATCCTTGTGGTTTCAATGGTAAATTCTGCCAAGCATAAGGAATAATAGCAACTGTACGTAACCCTTTCAAAGAAAAATGCAAGAGTAAATGTTTTGACCATATGTTTTACAAGCCACATGACACATACCAAACCTAATGAGGATATTACAAGATATACCAACTCCCATTAACACAGAAGCAAAATTCCTTAAGAAAATTATCACCAGGTCATATCTGATGATATAAAAAAAAAACTAAATCATGAGTAAGTGGTATTCATTCCACGAAGTTAAGGTCAGCTTAACATTTGAAAATTAATGATGTAAATCACCTCATTAATCTGTATGGTCACCACAATAGGTATAAAAAAAAAGCTGAAGAAATGTATCACTTGATCATGTTAATATTTCCAGCCAGCTAGAAAGAGAAGAAAATTCCCACAATTTGATAAAGGGCGCCTATAAAAAACTTAAAACATGCCTAATTTTGAAACAGTAGAAACTGGGCAGATTTCTAAAGTATCTGAGTTTTGAAACACTTGGGAACAAAGTCCCAAAGTATAACTTTGTGAAATGTATTTTGGTCTTTGTCCTGGGTCCTGGAATACAACTCCTAAAATCCTGGTAATCTCTGGACTAATGTGTCTTTTTTGTATGCTAATAAGCCCACTGCAGGCCAGGAACCCATAAGCAGCTTCAGGGTGGGGCTGAACACTGAAAGGTTAAGGCAAGCCACTAAGGGAGGGACTGGGGCCTAAGGTGAGTTGATCACCAGTGCCAGTGGTTTAATCATTTATGCGTTTATAATGAAGTCTCTATAAAAACCTAAAAGGATAGGTTCTAAGAGCTTCCAAGTAGCTGAACATGTAGAGAGTTGGGGGGTGGGGGTAGAGGTGCCCAGAAAGGGCAAACTGTGGCTCCTTCCCTTACCTGGCCCTATGGACCTCTTCATGTGCATCCTTTGTAATAGCCTTTAGATAAGTGTCTCTCTGAGTTCTGAGACACTAAAGCAACAACACAACCCAAAGAGAGGACATAATGTAAGAAAAATGATCTTTTCTATCAAAGTATTTGTTACCCTCTTAGATTACTTAAAAATTCTTCAGGCCGCCATCTTAGGTGACTTGTATGTTTAAAGAGTCTTTGCTTCTTCTTCTTCCGGATTCTTGTACAACTCCATTGCCTTATGCCCTAACCCATCCCCCAAGACTTTTAGCCAATTGAGGGAGATTGTGAACATTTGACCTGGACAAATCCTGGGTTAGGGGCAGATACAACTGTGTCAGGGATATAAAGAGGAGCCACTGTCAGCCATTTGTGCTTGCATGTTTGCTTAGCGGAAGGGAGCACATGCTTGCACCCTCTTGATCAAGAGAAATTGCCTTGTCAAGATTTTCTGCCTCTTGTGTGTCTGTTTTCAGCACCAGAGGGTTATTAATTCCAACTATAGTAACCCTGATTTATAACCCTTGAAGGTGGCACTATCTCTGCAATCCGTCTAGAGTAGACATGAACTATTGTCTCAGGCTGGAAGCAGTTGTAGAAGCCTCCTTTGGCCTTTCTCCCTATATTAGCCCTCTCTCCACAGATCAGGGACTCAATGTGAGGGTTCTGCCAGATGCCAAATATGTCTACTATAATTATGTACTCCAGAATTGGGGAAACAACTATAGGGTGGGCTTAGGGACTCACTGTGAGTCAGATCTGGGCTAGACTACATTGATTATCTGACCTTACAAAGTCTCATGGAATCAGTGGTGTTGCAGGATAGTCAAGCAGGGAAAAGGGGCACCAAGGCTTTTCGGGAATAAATATTTATTAGCGTGCTGGCAGCAGCTCAGAGGATTCACATCCAAAGACTGAGCCCCACGAACATAGAGGCCTTGCCTTATGTACCCTTGCATGCAGGTTACAGAAGTGAGGAGCAAAGTTTAACCCATATATGGTTGCTTGTGATTTCATTGGCTACTTCATCTTTAGTGCTACGTGACCATTTTTTTCAGGTTCAGTTTAAGTTTCAGTTTCCTGTCATGTCTTCTCTCCTCCCCACTACAGTATCAGCCCAGAGCCAGTATCCAATAATCCCTGAGTAGTTTATCTCCTTTTCTCGAGTAACAAACAACCTGGTAAAAGGCCCTAAGACTCTCTGAGGAAAGACTGGGAGAATATCAAGGGTTTAGAGTTTGGGCTATGTCATGGGATCCTTCCTCAAGGAAGTCCAGTCTCCTCCTCATCCAAGAGTTCTGCATCTGTATATTAGCTTAGTCTGGGAATCTGACTGAGCAGGTGTGACTTTTTTACTCAGTTTTATACTTGCTCATGTGATCTAGAACTTTCCAGCTCATGTCTCTCTTGGGCATAATCAGCCATTGTGGTCTCTGTGAGACAGACCATTCTTTCTTAAAAATCATTTTGTTCTTCACTGACTGATAACTGTGGGGTCCAAGGTGATGTTTTGGTACATGTGAGGCAGGCTAGACATCAGGGAACTTTTAAAAACTGTATAGCCTGATTTAGAGTACCTCAGGTTAGACCCCTCCTTCACTCATTTCCTGAGCTCAGAGAGCTACAAATCCTTTGTTAAGCTAGAAATTTCTCCCACATGAACTTATGGCACCTGAAAATTAGCATTAAGTGTATGCAAGAGTCAGCCCAGATCTTCCTCTGACATGAAGGACACTGGAGATGGGGTTGGCGCAGGTTTTCTCCCTACCTCCAAGTTAAGAATGGTATAAAAACTAGCCAAAATTAAAAATCTCTTTTTCCTGCATGTGGCTCTTCCATTCCACCTGGCAGAGACCATACCTGTAATCCCCTTCCCTTTTCCATATACTAAACTCCATTACGCCCT